CGGGGCAGAAGCTCTCCCACAGGGCCCCCTGGATACTGACAGCCCCCTGATAGACCTCCCGGATGGCAGCCTGCAGAAAGTGCAGTCAGGCTCACAGCAACGTGTCCACAAGACGCACCAGAGTGCCCAGGGGCAGCTCTGTCTCCATGTTGCAGAGTGGTAGGGTGTCCCGAGTGACGGCAACCAGAGCACTCTGAGACACAAATGCTTTGCTGTCCCCAGGGCCCCCTGGATACTGACAGCCCCCTGATAGACCTCCCGGATGGCAGCCTGCAGAAAGTGCAGTCAGGCTCACAGCAACGTGTCCACAAGACGCACCAGAGTGCCCAGGGGCAGCTCTGTCTCCATGTTGCAGAGTGGTAGGGTGTCCCGAGTGACGGCAACCAGAGCACTCTGAGACACAAATGCTTTGCTGTCCCTCATCGAGGTAGACAAGCAAGCAGAGACACCAGAGAACTGGCTGTCCGGGATGGGGAGGTAGGGTCCCTTTAAGCATGGACCTCAGATAGCTGCAGGCAGCAGCCCCACAGAGGAGGTCCTGACCTGGTGCCCTGCCGACTCTGGTTCCAGCCAGCCTTAACTCCGATTCAGAGTCCACTCAGTGTGGACGCGCTATTTCGAAATAGCAGAATGCTATTTCGAAATGCATTTTCTGTGTAGATGTGTTAATTCGAACTAGCTTAATTCGAATTAACTATTTTGAAGTAAGTTACCTCGAATTAACGTTGTAGTGTAGACATACCCGAACTGGTAAGGATATGGAAATTTCCACCTCTACATTAATCTGGCTAACTTTGGTGGTGACTGACAGGTGTCAAGATCACCTGTTGGCTGTTCAATGGTCTGTGTGACAGGATTTGGTCTGACTGTGAACTAATGTCAAAATCAGAACAAATATATAAGCACAACTGGCACTAAAACATCTGCTACCGTAGCCAATGATTGAATAGGAATGGAAAATGGGCAACCTTTTTCCCTCTGTTGTCCTCTTAGATTTTGGCACATTGGTAGGATTTAAATATTTCAAAGTGAATTTACTAAATTGAAAGGTGGGAAATTGAAAGTACTGGAGATGGAGATTTCTGGACATCAGAACAGTAATGCGAAACTTCCTACGCTAGTCTACAGATGTGCATCAACTCAGACTTACAAGTGACCATGTAGAAGAAGTAAGATGGTTCAGTCTTTAGATTTATTTATTTCTTGGCTTTCCTGCAAAAGTTGCTGTGGATACCAATCAATGTGTCAGTCGAGTTTCTTTTATGTGAATACCAATCCAAACTGAAGCTATTAACTAATTGCACATAGATGTGCATTAGCTTACCAAACAGCTGTCAGATAGTAATGATTTCTTGTTAATACCACTCTGAGGTAGAATGGAACGATGACTTCAGGGTAAATGGCTCCATATTCCATTACTAAAACTGTATGTTTGTTTAGGCCATGATTTCTATTATAATAGATTTCCATGTAGATTTGTCACAGATGTAGCATCTAGAGTCATAGGTCTTTGTCACCAAGGCCAGATCTCTGGTGAGCTAGATTCCTCTAAGGAGTTTTACAAATTTGACTCTATAAATACCCAATGTAATGAAGTATGGATAACTGGCCTGCTTTTTAAGTGGTTTCAAGCTATTTTCAGGGAAACATGAAGGATTTTTGCTGAAAACAATGTGACCTACAACTTTTTGACATTGTGTTCTCAACAAAAAAATCTGTGATTTTTTTTTATTTCCCCATAACTAGAGCAAGCCTTGCCTCATAATTTCCCATTACAGATAACCAGATGAGCTTTACTATTCCAAAAGCCATCAACTCCCTTCATTGAATTCTCTTTTTAAAATATATTGATTATACTGCTAACAGAAGAGATGTAATTTTACAATTGTTGTTTTTTACATTACCTGAACTGGGGAAATTGATGCTTCAGAGCTATCAAAAGATAAAGCTAAAAGAAAAAAAAGATATTTCAACAGCTGATTATTAGTATTTACTCTTACATTACTACTTTCTTTGTTCATCACCATATTAGCATTGAACTCAAAAAGTAATCAAAAGAGGACTGCCTCATTTTCCTGGCACAGCCAAACACTTTCATTGCTTTAAGTGATGATAAAAGGAAGCTGCATACTGAATTTGGTGATCCTAGCAATTACCTTTTAGGAGGAGTTCTTGAACAGACAGACGGACGGACAGATGGGCAGACAGAAAAACTCTCTCAAATATATAGTTGATTAAAATATTGTAAGTACCTTGTTTCAATTGAAAGTCAAGAGAATTCCTTGCTGAGATCGTATTTTGTTTGGGATTTCGGTGAGGTAATTGTGTTGAAGCTTTTTCACCAAATGGGTTACAACTATCTACCTAAAATGAAAGAGAGATCGTAGGTCAGGGACAAGCTTTTGAGCTTCCTTCACACCCTTCTTCAGCAGGTCCGGAGAAGGTTACCAGAGGTCCAAGCTAAATACAAGGTAGAACTGATGGCTAGATTCACCTATGTTGTAGGAGACCACTTAAAATGAAGTGAGCACTTAACACTTCGGCAGTAGGAGGCCAATGGAGAGTGTTAGGCAGCAGGGTGGGTTACAAATACAGGCTGAACCTCTCTAGTCTGGCACTCTCTGGTCTGGCAACATTCGTGGTCCAGCATGACTTTAGTTAGCTGGATGTTCACTTATCTTGGGCGTGGCCAAGTTGCCTGTGGTCCCATAACATTTGTTTATAGCCACCAGTTCTGGCTCTCAGTGTTCTGTGCTCTTATTTAGCTCTAATTTACCCCTACATGTCTTTTTAAGAGCCCAGTAAGCAACGGAAGTGTTAGTAATGCTGCTAGACAATACTGATCTTCTGTGGTTTGGCAAATTCTCTGGTTCGGTACCGGTCAGGTCCCGAGGAAACTGGACTAGAGAGGTTCAACCTGTAGTTGTAATGTGCCATAAAACCAGTGTCTCTATTCATATATTCAGCATATGACAACAATCAGTATCACTGCAAACTACATAAAATGAAGGAATAATATGAAGCTCAATTTTTATTCTGTGAAAACCAGGTCTGGACATGAGCCTATTTGCAGCTGCTTACAGTCTACAAAGAAAATAATTTAAAAAATGGTTTCTTCCCGCCTCCCCTTCTTTCTTCCACAAGTACAATAATATACAAAAGAGGAGAAACAATATACACAGCACAGTGCAGACACTTCAGTAACACCACCTTGTTTACAAAACACTGGGATTGTGACATTATTGATGTTTTTATAATAAGGAAATGACCAGTACCATCTTGTTATGGAAGAGTGTATCTGGCACTAGACCTTTCACATTTCTTTTAAGAGTGTGGTTAGGACAGTTTTAAAAAAATGTTTTCATCTTCATGAGGACTCAAGAAATCTTTCATGTTCGTGAACAGGGGATTCAAAAATATAACCCCTTCATGGACTGTAACAGGGTATAGACATTTACGATTATAAATGACCATTTAAAATAAATTAAAACTACAAATTGAGGAAATGACATATAGATAATGTAATGGATTGGCTGGTGTGAGATAGATAGATAGATAGATAGATAGATCTGTCTCTCTCTACCAGGATCTAATTTAGGCTTCTCTACAATGCCCATTACCTGAACATACAAATATACTGAGACAGAGCACTTTTCAGTCCCCCCATTTTCATTTTTGTGCATGTGTTATACACCTCACTTGGGCACTGTGATGCTTAATTAGCGAGTATTTGTAAAGTGATTTGAGATATTCAGAGGAAAGATCTCATCAGTGGCTTGTTTATGTCCTAAAGAATGAGATCTAAATGTAATTTATAATTTTATTCCATCTAAATGTAACTTTGGATTCTCTTATTAGTCATACAAACGTCTAATATTTCCCTGAATCTAACTAACTGACCTCAATCCTAGAGATACCAGTGAGTTCCACAGATTAATTAAGCATTTCTTTTTACATTTTCAGATTTGCTGCTGGTTAATTTCTTAAAGTCTCCTCTTGTTCTAGCTTTATGAGGAAGGATGACAGGAGCACCCAATTTACTCTAATATCATCACAATAATAAAAAAATTAACTTAGTGTGGCAATTTTAAGACTTACGTGTCTAACAACAAATGGTGGCCTGGTTTCTGTTTCCAGTTTGTACCCACCAGATCCCAGGCTTAGCCTTGATTGATGATGTTGGTTTGCTTTGCAGAGCTGACACAAGTGCTTTGTAGCTTTTGGAGATGGAGAGCGGGATCTTAATAACCTGGCAAGGCTCTTGCAGATCTTATTATCCTTTTTCTTTGTAGTCTTACATCGTGCTGGTGAAATGCTCCTTCGCCTGGGTGATACCGATGCAGATCTTTGTATCCTCGTTCTGTTTCTTCCCTGCCAGATAATGAATTGGCTCATAAAGTGATTACCCAAGCAGAAACATGTACAGGCTATTTCCAAACCTCTCTGTAGAAGACAGTCGGCTGAGCAGAGTTTCAAGTCATCGGGGGGCTCCTACACATTTGGGAGCAGAATTTGGCTCTTTGTAGCTACAAATTAAAATGGGGGAGGGGTGTCTGAGACTCTGAGCTGAGAAGTGACATAACGTCAATAATTGAAAGCAGGGAGCGGGGACTCATGCCTCTCTTCTTTATACATCTTAAATGTATTTGACAATCTCTCATCCAGGGCTTGATCCTGAAAGATGCTGTTGGCCCTCTGTGTGGTGCTCTATAGTCCCAACTTCTACTGATTCAACTGAAGTTAAGAGCACTGTATACAGGCAGTCCCCAGGTTACGTACAAGATAGGGACTGTAGGTTTGTTCTTAAGTTGAATCTGTATGTAAGTCGGAACTGGCATCCAGATTCAGCCGCTGCTGAAACTGACTGCCAGTTCTGACTTACATACAGATTCAACTTAAGAACCCCAAGCGTCCCCAAGTCAGCTGCTGCTGAAACTGATCAGCAGCTGATTCCAGGAAGCCCAGGGCAGAGCAACTCTGCCTCGGGCTTCCTGTAGTCAGCGCTGGTCAGTTTCAGCAGCAGCTGACTTG